TCTTATTATGATCCTTTGTAGCGTTAACTTTGAAAGTCCATTCTTCTTGTTCCCGCTTGCTACGGCTGTTGCATTGAGAACATTTTGTGATATTGCGACGCTAGTGGCAGAGGCGTTGGAAGCTTCGCTTTCTGTTGCAAAGAGATAATATGTCTTTGTAATATTTAAGCCTGTTTCGAGTATGATTTTGGCTGTGTATGGATTGCCTGAAATTACTTCGTTGCCATCGTTGTATTGAACACTCTCGATAACTGGTGTGGGGACTGTGGAAGAATATGTAACATTACCGGTACCTAAGTTGGATTTATGATCGGCGTCGGTCTCAACAACAACAAGTAACTTTGTCTTATTATGATCCTTTGTAGCGTTAACTTTGAAAGTCCATTCTTTCTTGTTCCCGCTTGCTACGGCTGTTGCATTGAGAACATTTTGTGATATTGCGACGCTAGTGGCAGAGGCGTTGGAAGCTTCGCTTTCTGTTGCAAAGAGATAATATGTCTTTGTAATATTTAAGCCTGTTTCGAGTATGATTTTGGCTGTGTATGGATTGCCTGAAATTACTTCGTTGCCATCGTTGTATTGAACACTCTCGATAACTGGTGTGGGGACTGTGGAAGAATATGTAACATTACCGGTACCTAAGTTGGATTTATGATCGGCGTCGGTCTCAACAACAACAAGTAACTTTGTCTTATTATGATCCTTTGTAGCGTTAACTTTGAAAGTCCATTCTTTCTTGTTCCCGCTTGCTACGGCTGTTGCATTGAGAACATTTTGTGATATTGCGACGCTAGTGGCAGAGGCGTTGGAAGCTTCGCTTTCTGTTGCAAAGAGATAATATGTCTTTGTAATATTTAAGCCTGTTTCGAGTATGATTTTGGCTGTGTATGGATTGCCTGAAATTACTTCGTTGCCATCGTTGTATTGAACACTCTCGATAACTGGTGTGGGGACTGTGGAAGAATATGTAACATTACCGGTACCTAAGTTGGATTTATGATCGGCGTCGGTCTCAACAACAACAAGTAACTTTGTCTTATTATGATCCTTTGTAGCGTTAACTTTGAAAGTCCATTCTTTCTTGTTCCCGCTTGCTACGGCTGTTGCATTGAGAACATTTTGTGATATTGCGACGCTAGTGGCAGAGGCGTTGGAAGCTTCGCTTTCTGTTGCAAAGAGATAATATGTCTTTGTAATATTTAAGCCTGTTTCGAGTATGATTTTGGCTGTGTATGGATTGCCTGAAATTACTTCGTTGCCATCGTTGTATTGAACACTCTCGATAACTGGTGTGGGGACTGTGGAAGAATATGTAACATTACCGGTACCTAAGTTGGATTTATGATCGGCGTCGGTCTCAACAACAACAAGTAACTTTGTCTTATTATGATCCTTTGTAGCGTTAACTTTGAAAGTCCATTCTTTCTTGTTCCGCTTGCTACGGCTGTTGCATTGAGAACATTTTGTGATATTGCGACGCTAGTGGCAGAGGCGTTGGAAGCTTCGCTTTCTGTTGCAAAGAGATAATATGTCTTTGTAATATTTAAGCCTGTTTCGAGTATGATTTTGGCTGTGTATGGATTGCCTGAAATTACTTCGTTGCCATCGTTGTATTGAACACTCTCGATAACTGGTGTGGGGACTGTGGAAGAATATGTAACATTACCGGTACCTAAGTTGGATTTATGATCGGCGTCGGTCTCAACAACAACAAGTAACTTTGTCTTATTATGATCCTTTGTAGCGTTAACTTTGAAAGTCCATTCTTTCTTGTTCCCGCTTGCTACGGCTGTTGCATTGAGAACATTTTGTGATATTGCGACGCTAGTGGCAGAGGCGTTGGAAGCTTCGCTTTCTGTTGCAAAGAGATAATATGTCTTTGTAATATTTAAGCCTGTTTCGAGTATGATTTTGGCTGTGTATGGATTGCCTGAAATTACTTCGTTGCCATCGTTGTATTGAACACTCTCGATAACTGGTGTGGGGACTGTGGAAGAATATGTAACATTGGTACCTAAGTTGGATTTATGATCGGCGTCGGTCTCAACACACACAAGTAACTTTGTCTTATTATGATCCTTTGTAGCGTTAACTTTGAAAGTCCATTCTTTCTTGTTCCCGCTTGCTACGGCTGTTGCATTGAGAACATTTTGTGATATTGCGACGCTAGTGGCAGAGGCGTTGGAAGCTTCGCTTTCTGTTGCAAAGAGATAATATGTCTTTGTAATATTTAAGCCTGTTTCGAGTATGATTTTGGCTGTGTATGGATTGCCTGAAATTACTTCGTTGCCATCGTTGTATTGAACACTCTCGATAACTGGTGTGGGGACTGTGGAAGAATATGTAACATTACCGGTACCTAAGTTGGATTTATGATCGGCGTCGGTCTCAACAACAACAAGTAACTTTGTCTTATTATGATCCTTTGTAGCGTTAACTTTGAAAGTCCATTCTTTCTTGTTCCCGCTTGCTACGGCTGTTGCATTGAGAACATTTTGTGATATTGCGACGCTAGTGGCAGAGGCGTTGGAAGCTTCGCTTTCTGTTGCAAAGAGATAATATGTCTTTGTAATATTTAAGCCTGTTTCGAGTATGATTTTGGCTGTGTATGGATTGCCTGAAATTACTTCGTTGCCTCGTTGTATTGAACACTCTCGATAACTGGTGTGGGGACTGTGGAAGAATATGTAACATTACCGGTACCTAAGTTGGATTTATGATTGGCGGCGAACTCAACAACAACAAGTAACTTTGTCTTATTATGATCCTCTGGAGCGTTAACTTTGAAAGTCCATTCTACTTGTTCGTATTTATATCCAGTGAAGATAGAATAGAAGTTTGGAGATGGTGTATAGAACTTTATACCTCGAACTGAAAAATCTTCTAACTTTGACAATAAGATATCCCAAGCATCTAACATCTTCCTTCCAACTTGTACAACTTTTATTTTCTTAAGTTTCTGTCTACATTCTTGTTCAGACACTATTGTTGCTCTTGGTTTGTTAAAGACAACATCCCATTCTTTCATGACATAACATTCTGGGGCAGAGTCAACATAAATGACTAAACGTTTCAAATTTTCGACTGCTTTGTTATAGTCTCGAAATGGACACATATTTCTGAATGCTTGGAAGTCATAAAAATCTGAAACATCTATTCTGTACATTTTTTTATAAAAATAAAAAAAAATATTTTTTTATTCTTGAGCTTGTTGTTCCATTTGTTCCATTTGTTGCATTTGTTGTTCTTGAGCTATTTGTTGTTGAAGTTGTTCTTGTAATACAATACTTTCACCAGTTGCATCTTCCAATTCGAAACTTTCTGCCGTCATTGACAAATACATAGGACATAAAAGTTTTACAGGAACAAAGTTTGCGTCAACTAAGGTTAAGTTTATGTTTGCTAAAGTGTTTGAGTTTACTAAAGCTGAAAACTCTGCATTCGAATGAACAATAGGCAAACCAGCAGAGAAAGTATTGTTTATACGCATAAGTATCTTTTGGTCATAATAGTTTCTGTCGACATTCGAATAACACTTTGAACCTAAGTTTGAAACAATATATAAGATTGGTGTGCTTAAAGTCAATGGAACAGACATTCCTTGTATGACACCTTTTCCTGTTATAGGAAACTGTTGGTAGTAAAAACCAGATATAAGTTTTGTATTATAACTCATATCGTTTATAGTAAACTCAGTCGGACATCCAAACATAATGAAACCTGCTCTAGTTGCAGCACATGTTACACCCGTCCTTAAAGTATTAAATAAGTCAACAAAACCTGTTGGTGGTATATCTGAGTAAGTATCTTCAAAGGAGTATTTTTTACCATTCACAACAATAAAGTCTTCTGGTGTCAAAAGAGCAAAACAGGCTTTAGTCGTCATTGTGTTTAAGGTTAGTTTACAATATCGTCCTTGAGGACTTTGTAAGTTTGTTGTTATAGAATTATATGACTCAGGGTTTTTAGTCGTAATAGTATAAACCATTATGTCTTCTGCCATTTACTTAGCAAATAAATTTTAATGAAATGTTGTGGTCGTCAAATATTTTTATAACGTCTGGGAAACTATATTTTAAGTTCAACGTTTCACCTCCTTTCATAACGTATATCTTGTCAATGACATTATATGAAACACCACAGCAACTAATGTCGGGTTCTATTTCTTTGATGTTTATATCGTCTGCCTCTGTCAAAAGTTTCAATAGTTCTTTCAAAACTTCATGAGGTGCAATGACATATGAGTTCACTTTTACAGGGTTGTGTTCGACCAAGTTTAACATTATACTTAAAGCTTGACAAATCTTCTCCTGAGTTTTAAGTTTGTCTTTCAGTTGTTGGTAGTCGTTTCGAATATCTGCAACAGAACTTAAGTCTCTGCTAACTTCAGGATATGTTGGTTGTTCTTTTACAGGAACTATTGTTATACCATCTTCGTCTTCGTATGGTTTCCCCACTTCAACATCTCTGTCTTTGACATTGACAACAACACTTTGACTGTTTGTTTGAGTTGGTGAATTTAACTTCACATCTGCCACCGCCATTAAACCTTTTGAAACACTTACACTTCTATTTTTCGGAAATGACATTTTACTTAGAATAAAAAGATGGACGTATTCAGATATCTCTTCGAATTGAAGCAAAACAAAGTTTACACACACAAACAATACAAATACATTGACAGAATAGTTCTTTACACAAACAATGGAAAATGTTATAGAATAGCAGTCTTTGCTGAACCTAAATATTTTCATAAAGCAAAGAAAGTTGGTATAACTGAAATGGTGAAAGTTCTTGAAGCAGACAAAAATATAACTTCAAAACTTACAGATATTTCTAAAGGAAAGTTTATAATACAATATTATGTCAAAACTGGCGTACTGTCAATATTTGACGGAGAGAAGTCAGTTCAAGAACAACTTACTGACCTGCTGCCAAAATCTGCTCGATGGAAGCTGTCGTTATGCCAATCTGAGGAGCCCCAGCAGGTTTCATCGAACGAATTTTCAAAAGAGCATCTTCCGTGAAAAGTGCTATTGGTTTTGTAAACTTCTTTGCTTTCAATTCATCTGGACCGTCTCTGTCACCAGTATATTGTATTTGAACTGTACCAACAGTTGAAATACCACCCATAAAGTCTTCTGAGTCAGCAAATGGAATGCCAAGCCAAAAGTTTGAACGGTCTCCATTTGTATATTGAGTTTTTTGACCTCCTGTATGGGTCCATACTTTCACATATGGCATAATAGAACTTTGCATTTCAGGGTTAATGGTTGTTGTGAAGTTGTTGTTAAAGTTCATAGCATCTAATGTCAAGTTGTATGACCTCATATCCTCAACTGTAGAATATTCTTCTCTTGGATAATATTTGCCATCTATGTTTATATGATATTTAATACCAGGGTTGTAGAAACAAGAATAGTCATTTATAGTTCGTCTGAAAAGAACAAACATAGTATCTGCATGTTTCATTGCAGTTGTTAAGGCAATATCTGTTCTTGCACCTGGGTCAGCACTTTGGTTTCCAACTTCACCTGCAAAGTCTTTGACAGATATTTGGTGTATAGGGAACATAAGTGGAACTGCAATATATTTGGCAGCTAAAGCATTTGAAATATCTGGGTCCAACATATAGACTGCAAGTCTGCTTTCTATTCTCTTGCATTCAAATTTTTCGCATGTGAACTTAACTGGGTCCCAAGCATCTCCAGCAGCATTGAAATAATAGTTTACTTCAGTGTTGAGGTTTGAGAAACCAAAGTCTAAGTCAACTTTGTCTTTGCAAAATTCGGCGAATGACGTTTTATTTGTTCCCTTTACGTCTGTAAGAGTGAATGGGTCTTGTGTTGGTGCAATGACTAAGTTATTTTTGCTTGGAGTAAGTTCGATAGAAATTTTTCCTGCCCAGTTTGGCAAGTATCTTAAAAACCTGAAGATGAGGAAAGATGACAAAGGAACTCTAAGTTTCAGTTTTACTTTAGTGGCAGCAGTTCCATCTGAACCAGAAAGGTTAACATAAACTCCTGGAACGTTAGGGTCAAGTCTTCTTATTTTCTCAATAGTTGCATACTGGTCTGTTTGTTCTCTAGCTTGTGGTTGTACTGAGTTTCTTAAAGCGAACCATTCATAGTTTGCCCATGTTACTGTTTGAACTAAGTCAGAGTTAGAATATATCTTATATCCCATGAAAACTTCTGGAGCATATTGGTATCCGACATAGAAAATTCCATTGCAACCTTTCTTTTCAGACAACTTGGCAGAAGGTTTTATTTCAATGTCTTGTTCCACGTATAAGAAAGAGTTGTCAATAGAAATAATATGAAACCTGTCGCAAGCAATATCTACTGTTGTTGAAGAACCTTCTCCAAACTCACCTACGTTTCCATAAGAAACAGCAGTTGTATATTCGTAAGTTCCAGGAACTATTTCTGACCTTCTAATGGCATTGTCGCATTCGTTATACCATTCGGAAACATTTCCATTCATGGCATCCAAAACTGTTGGCGTTATATTCTGAGCGGCGTACATTTCATATGGGTAAAAATATAGAATAGTTGGATTTATATGTCATAATAGAACCCACTCGGACCAAGCTTTACTTTCTTCCTGACTGAGTTTTTAACTCTTCTTTTTCCTTCATTGCCACTACTTTCACTAGATGAAGTTACTTCTTCACTACTTTCACTTTGTTCTACTCTTCTCTTCTTCTTTGGTGTCGCTTTTGGTAACTTGCCCTCTGCTTCAAGTTGTTGCATCTTTGCCTCATGTTCACCTAGTATGTTGTAAATTTCCCATGTCCTTTTTGCCTTTGGGCTCTGGTCGCCCATCTCAGGTAACCTATATCCTAGAAAGATTTTGTCATAGTTTGTATTTGAGTCTTCGCGTATTGTTTGCATGACTCTTTCCTGAGTTTCCGGTTCAAGCTCTTCAAACAGAGCTTGTCCATATGGAATAAGCTCGTTTCCAAATATATGTTTTTGTAGCCATTCTGGTTTTCTTTCCATGTTACCAATAATATCTTTTGTGAATGGGAAAGCTTTTACCCAATGTTTCAGTCTTTCGTCATTTATTTCTGTAGTTGGTTTTATTTTGTCAAGGAACATGTTTTTCAATACTAACATTTCATTTGGTACTGTCCATTTGAGTTTTCTTAAATATTCATCCCTTCTCGGTTCATTGTCTGCAAAGTAAGTTTTTATGACATTTTGTAAACTTTCGTTTGCAAGGTCATGTACAATAGGTTCTCTTCCTTCTCTCTCCCTAACTGTCTTTCTAAACTCTTCACCAAATATACCATCTCTATGGTTCTGTGTAGTTCTTTGAGATAAATGTTTTAGAACGTCAGGTGTTATATTTCCATCAGCCATGTTCATTTCATACTGGTTCAAAATATCTGCATCTTTCATATCTTTCAATGGCATTAAAGCCGCGCTGAAAATACCAGCTATATCTGGTTCACCATTCACTTCCATTGCGTCTACAACTTCTTGGAATTGTGGTTGTAAGTTTATGAACCACCTATCCGGATTAGCTTTATGACCCCATCTCATTGTAGTTCCATAGTCTGCAGAAACAAAAGTAGGTTTGTTTCCATATTGGTTAGGTTCTGAATGAACTTTAAACAATGTTTCATTTCTATATGTTTTGTTGAAATTTAACCTTTTATTTTCACCGAGTTCAGCCAAAGATTGAACGTTATATGGTCGTAAGTAAAAAGGATTGTTGTATTTGCGTACATTATCTTTCAGTACTTCCATTCTATGCTGAATATTTTCATCTGATGTTGGAGTCTTTTGTATGTCGGCAAACATTTTTCGATATTCTTCTACTATGTCAGCCGAATTTTTTTTAGACTCTTGGAAAGATTCCATATTCACCTCATACTCTTGTTGAGGGTCAAGATTTTTCGGCTGTTCCAAATCTTCATCTAGTTCTGTGAGGTTAGTTTCCAAAGGAGGGACTTGTTCGTTTCCTTCAGGCTCTTCTAGCTGTTGTTGCTGAACTATTTCTTCCATGTCTGGTTGTATCTGAACTTCTTCCTGTTGAGTTTCTTGTACCTCATCTGCTGGCATTTCATATATTCCGAGACCGTTTTTAAAAAGTTCCCTATCTAAGTCATCCGGACTCATAAACCTTTCTTCTTTCGTTCCGTCTCTATTTTTTACGCGTTTCATGAAGAGAGTTGAATTGTCATTTAGCTCTGACACCAAATATCTCGGAGTAAATTCGTTCATGTCATTTGGATGATATGCTATTAAATCATATCCCTTAGCGAGCTTGTATTTTCCAGGTTTGAAATTATATCCCATTTGGTGCTGAACCATAAAGCTAAATAGGTTCGGGTCTGTATTTCCTTCCTTGAACTTTCTAATAGCTTCTTTATATCTGTCACTAAAGTCAAGAGTATCTGGGTAACCATATTCTTCCTTAAGCATTTTTAAGAAATCTTGGTTTCCTTGTTCTCTACTTCTTTTATGTCCTTGCTCTGTTTGTGGTTGTTGTGCTGGTTGTGGAGGTGGTTGTTGTGCAGGGTTTTGAACTGTTGGTTGCTGTGCTGGTTGTGGAGGTGGTTGTTGTGCAGGGTTTTGAACTGTTGGTTGCTGTGCTGGTTGTGGAGGTGGTTGTTGTGCTGGTTGTTGTTGTTGTTGTGGTGCTGGATTTTGAACTGTTGGTTGTTGTGTTGGTTTTGGTGCATGCCTGTGTCTGTGTCCATGTGACGATGTAAATGTTTTAGGTAGTCCTGGTGCAGGTGCTTCTCTTGGAGGGTTTGGTGGTATATAAGTTCCACTAGCTAGTATATAAGTTCCACCAGCTGGTATATAAGTTCCACCAGCTGGCACATATGTTCCATCTGCAGCATAATGTCCTACCTGACTTTTCGTTCTTAAGAAAGCATTTACTAGGTCTCTTTTGGTCTGTTGTAACTCTTTTTCTTGACTTTCCACAACAGCTGTTCTAACGGCGTCATGGGCACTTTGAACTGCCTGTCTCGTTGCTGCATCTGTTATTTTCGTCATATTTTGTGCTACTTCTTTTAACTCTTTGTCGAAACCTTCAGACTTCAGTTTCTTTCCAGATGAGAAGTCGTTCACTAGTTTCACCTTACTATGAAGAGCTTCGAAGGCGTTCTTAAAGTCAGCATTCGTTAAAGCTTCATTTGAACTGTCTTCATCCGCTTGTATTTTTGTCCTTATTGACCCTATAAGTTGGGCTGCTTTAGCGTTGGCTTGGGCGTCTAACCAGTCATTATTAGCTTTTATATATTCTGCGCTTTTCATTGCCTTTTGCATGGCTGCGTCGTTATTTTTACTTTCTTGTGCTAAGTTTTCATACTGTACGGTTTGGTTTTGCAACTGTAAAAGTTTTTCTGCCTTTACATTTGCTTCAACTTCTTTTTTATACTCATCGCTATCCATATATGTCTTCAGGGCTTTTTGTTTTATTTCTTCATCTTTCAGTACTTTATATTGAGTAGTATGGTTTTTCAAATTTATAACATCTTGTTCCATTTTTGCTACTTCTGCTGCTTTTTCTGACACTTTTTTCGCATATTCCTCTGTACTTAGTTCTTTCAGTTGTTCTTCTTTCTTCTTTTTCTCTACGTTTAACTCATTGAGTTTCTTTGTGTGTCTGTCATATTCTAGTTTCTTTTCGTTTTCACTTATTTGTTTCTGTATGTCTATGTTTGACTTTTTGACATCTGTTATTTGATTTTTGAGTGAACTCAAATTCATTTGACTTTGAGGGTTATAAGCTGTTCCGTCTGCAGCTCCACCATAGCCTGCCATTTTCGCTAAAAGTGCCGCTCTTAAACCTCCACTCTGTGCACCAATAACTCGGTTTAAAAGCATAGGGTTGCTTGACATTTGTTGCAACATAGTGGGGTCATTCAGCATTTGTTGTTGCAACTGTTGTTGTGGTGTCAGTTTTACTATTGGATGTTTCAATGCTCCCTTCCTCTTACGTATATTCTTACGTAGCTTACGTGGCATTTTAAGTGAAGTTAAAAAGCGGTTTTATACTAAACATCTTCGGGGCTAGAGGGCGCAACGCGCCTGGAAGCCCCACTACCTTTTTTTTTTCAAGTAGATGTGATTTGATTCTGTACAACTAAATATTAATATATTTAAAACATTGTAGAATTAAAATTTTTGACGATATCAATTTATAAAAAAAATGCAAGCGAATCCTTTTAATAAAGCTAAGATACGATTTGCTTCACTTTGTCCACCTAGTAAAGTGTTCAACACAGGGAGCATGGACTGGGAAGCATGTGGGCTACTTGCATTAGCCGGTAAAGGCACAATTTATCTCTATAAAACTACTAAAAATGATATTTCTTTCTTATGATCCATTGAAATTCTAAATTCTAACATAACTTGCCTTAAATTCCACTATGAGCTACCTTATCTTGCAATTTCAGACGATTGCGGAAGAGTTTTGTTATGGGATTGTGAATCAGGTCTTACACTCGGAATCACTCGTCAAGTATCTGAAGCTCAGTATGTATCGGAGCTTCAATGGTCCCGTAAAATCGTTTTAGGCTTTGCAGAACCAAATACAATTTATAGTATCGATTTTTGGCCGTATGAAGCTGAAGATCAAGCGAAAAACTCACGAATACTTTGGAAGATAGATGTTCCTGGTACATATACAAGGATGGCTGTTAATAGTTCAGATATATTCACTGCAATTCTATATTCTAATGGTCCATCCTTTACAATTATCACGTCAAAGAATGCCAAGCAGGCTCCAACATCTCAATCTCAATCCCATACTTTAGATAAATCAGAAAAAATCGTAGAAATTCAACATCATCCCCATATTAGTAATATTTTATTAATTATGCTTGAAGGAAAAATACTTACGTTTAACATAGCGACCAAATCTGGCCGAAATCTTGTAATCGATGAATCATCCCAATCATCTTTCCATAAACTGCTTCCTTCTTTAACAAATGACAACGAAATTACAGTTTATGGTCAAGACTCGTCACTCAGTATCTATATCTGTAACGAAGACTACATTTTTACAAAATCAGGAACAATAAAATTGAAAAGAGAGCTGTTTGACTTAAAATCGAAGTATTTACCACTATCCGCTGCATGTAACCGTGCACTTCCCGAGCGATACATCGCGTTCTCTCCATCAAATGGCTTAGTTATGTTTGCCATAAAAGATGATATACCTTACGTCATCGCGCAGTCTCAAATTATACCACAGATACCAACCTGTTACGATTTCTACGACGGAATCCTTGCTTTCGGCACTCCAACCGGAAAGATAATTTTCGCAGACGTTTCAGAAGGGAAATACACACAGAACTACCTTGCATCCAGCACATCCATTGAAAAGATCAAGTTCCTTACCAAAGATGTCCTTCTGTGGTACTCAAAAACCGAGTGTGGATCAATAAATCTTCCCAAGCGCCAAGTTATTCCAATCCACACTCGCCTTGGCCCTGCCACAGACCTAATATGTTCAGAGGAGCTCGGCGTTTTCGTCCACGGCAAATACGACCTTGGTATTTTTTATGATGTCAAACAAAAGCCGATGACTCTTCAAACATCCATCACCGCTGTTGCAGTCCAAGTATCCAGAATACCAGCAACATGTTTCCAAGGCGATACTCCCAATTTCGCCGTATTATTATCTACCGGAGAAATCCAAGTCTACACATACAAGAACGGCATAGCACAGATGCCTGTTCTGAGGCTGCGTAACTCACGGGAGAACTCCAGGACAACTTGTCTTGCTTGGAAAGGCGATTGCATCATAACTGCTGACACAGACGGCGTAATTATGTTTTACGACTTTGCTTTCGGTACATCGAAGCAAACATACTCTCCTTTCATCGACATAGACAGGATAGAGTTCGAGAGATCATCCAGCGGATTGTACGTACACGCGAGAGACGGAAAATTTGGTTTTTCACTTGAAAAAGTGGAAAGTTGTCCTTTTTCTGTTTCCTCATTCGCTGTAACAGGAAATGGACTCGTCCTCGTCTCCCCGCTCAATGACGAAGCCGTGAAATTCGTTATTGCAAGAGACTGGAGATCTGTAAAAAGAATCACTTCACCTGCCCTCTTAAAACCGCTAAAAACCGCCCAGCAACGGTTAGAGCTTATGGGTGAGCAATTATTAACGAATCCTACTACAGGAACATGGTCAGAAGCACTTCAAATAGCTGAGATAGCTAATGACCATGGATTTCCAACTGATTCCATTATTTGGAAGTGTGTTTCACGTAGTTTGGGAGGTCCGAGGTTGCAAGCACGACATTCCATGTTTGGAGGGAAAGAAGAAGTTGTTTCCGCGTTGAGGATTCAATCTTCTCTGTTTTCTCCTGCAGATACTCCGATTTCTGCCATTTTCAACTTGTTGTTCAAGTTCAGAATGGGTGATAGAAGAGGAGCTGTCGAAGTTTTCAAGAGTCTCTCCAACAAAAGCGAGTTCACAATAGTGGCAAGCATTTGTTCGGCGTTGCTTCTCGGTTACGAAGATAAAATTTTGCCACAAAACGTGACAGAATTTTTGATAACAACCGCTGTTCCACTTTTTGCACAGCACAGATTTATAGAAGGCTGTATATTGATGCATTTAGCTGGCGCTAATCTTTCTGCCGCAAGATATCTTCAGGACAACGGAAGATGGGAAGATTCTGTCGAAGTCTGCAAATTGGAAGAGTTTTCGAATGAGTCGAAGAGTTTGTTGAGAAGAGCCGCCCACCACTTCTTGGATACTGGAAATGCAATGAACGCTTTGTTGCTGTTCATATCAATAAGAGATTTCCATCCTGCTTTGGCAATTTTGATGCAGATAAAATACAAAGCTCTCGCGTTTCATTTGATGATGTTCTTGGATAGGGCTGATGTAATTAAGCCGTACGACGAAGACACTTCGAGATACGCAACACAGTTTGCGGATTTGGATACTTTGAGACAGGATATAATTGTCAAATATGACAAAATAATTAAGAAATAATTTTATTTGTATATTTATTTTCTTTATTTATAAAAAAAAGTCGAAAAAAAATGAAATTGTTTATATCGCATTTTCAATGATCTTTCAAGCCAGTTGTCAGATAGAAAAAAATTACGCATTTAACAAAGTTAAAGGGGAAAAGCATCCTGAAATTACGAAACATTTTAAAAAAAAATAAAAAAAAAATAAAGTGGGAAAGTCTGGAAATGATATGCTATGTATTGTAATTTTCAAAACTCAGCTTTCTAATGGAGCTATCACTTGTTACGTAAACTATATATATCGAATCAAAAGTTTGCCATGTTGTAATTTGATTTACAAGACATGATTTAATTAAAAAATAAAGGGTTTAAAATATAAAATAAAATATTTATCAAAGAAAAAAGTTAAACTAAAAAATATATCAAAATAAATATTATATTAATATAAAGAGGTAGCAGTTTGACCAGCTGGATCTGTGATAGAAACTGTAATTTTAACCGTTGAGTCTTCAGAAATCTTTGAAGGAGCTGCAATTTGGAAAATTGTTTTCACTTTAGGAGAATATAATTTTCTCTTAAAATATACAAAAATAGTAATATCAATACATGTGTATAATATATAGGGTGTCCAAAGGTGCGTTTAGCACAGCGCTCTATATGAGACTATTAAAGGAGATATATGCTGATTATAAATATATAATAAAAAATATGAATATATGTATATGATGAGTATGTTGTATTTTGGCGCCATGCCGGGATATAAAATGAATTTTGAGACAAGAGGCGGTTTCGCGGGAAATTTTGGCGGGATTTTTTTCATTTTTTTAATGAATCATAAAGAAAACATCCTCGCTCTTGCAAAAAATGCAAAGACTGTAAAAAAATCTACGAGACATTGGTAAAATGCTTCGGTATGGATGCTCCTAGCTATTCCACTGTAACGTATCATGTTAGGATGTATCACTTCATGAACAAAAAGGCGCCCATCATAAAAATTGACAAAAAATCGCCGGATCAAAGAAAAATCAAAGCAATTCTTCAAGCGCTAGATGAAGACCCAAGAGCATCACTTAGAAGGATAGAGGAGATGACAAAGATACCACGTACAACAGTCAGTTATTATCTGCACAATTATTTGAACTACAAACTAGCGTATACACGTTGGGTTCCGCACAACCTTAATTCAGTTCAAAAAAAATCTAGAGTCCAATCTTCGAAAGAGCTCCTCTCTATATTGGGTGCGTATCAATCCAAGAAGTTTCGCTTTTTAGTAACAGGGGACGAGTCTTGGTTTCAATATGCAACAGAAGCCAAAATCATATGGATCCCGAAGGATGAAAATGTTGTAAACGAAAACGATAAAAACGGTTTGACAGTAAAGTGACACTTTACATGGCAAAAAATAGAGCCTTACTTTTGAGATACTTGAGATTGAAACTGAATCTTATGAGGCGGTGATCTTGAATCACTACCTCATAAGGTTCAGTTTCATATAAAATTTGTTGCAATTTGTTATTCTTTTGCAATCATTTCTTATAAGATTTTACATCTTTTAGCGGGAATGTTTGTTATCATGTATATATTATATAAATATCTACACGATAACGAACATTCCTCGCTAAATTGCTGAGAAACTTTGAGGAAATGTCGAACAATTTCCTCAAAGTTTCTCAGATTTATATAGATCACTAGAGTCCCCTAGGCACTGATTCTGGTTCAGTACCTAGGAGGCTCTAGTTCTTTAACGAACTGATAAAATGTTTTTAAATTTTTGGATATTGCTACCTGTGAAGCACTGACTTCAAGTCAGTACCTCACAGGTAGCAATTACATTGAAAGATGGGAGAAACTTTGTCCGAATGTTAAACTATTCGGACAAAGTTTCTCCCATTTGTAGTGGAGATGGAAGGCTTTGAGGTATATTGTATTAATATATACCCAAAGCCTTCCATCTCCACTTGAAAGTGTCCAAACTTTGGGTTAATAGTTTGCAATTAACCCAAAGTTTGGACACTTTCTAGAAGGAATTGGAGGGTAAGAGATATACATTCATATGGTATATCTCTTACCCTCCAATTCCTTCTTAAAATGGGAGAAACTTTGTCCGAATGTTAAACTATTCGGACAAAGTTTCTCCCATTTTAAGAAGGAATTGGAGGCTATGAGATACTGATGAAATGTCAGTAACTCATGGCTTCCAATTCCTTCCTAAAACTCATAAAAGTGGACATTACATGCATATAAAATTTGACATGTAAAGTCCACTTTTTGCGAGCGGGGATTTGACTCCGTCAAATCCCCTTTTTCGTTTACGAGAAAAATCCGCAAACATTCCCGAAGAAAAAAATTGACACACCAATGATGATGTTGTCGGTTTTTTGGGGCGTAAATGACATCATCGCAATTGATATTCTTCAAAAACCTAATACGATGAATGCTCAGTATCTAATTGACAATGTTCTTACTCAAATTATCAATTCTGATGAGTTTGAGAAATCCAAACAACAAAAACAAAAGTTTGCAATTCATTTTGATAATTCAAGAGTTCACAAAAGTCATAAGGTAATGAATTACTTGGTGGAAAACAATGTCAAAGTTGTTCCAAACCCAATTTATTCACCTGATATGCACACCCTTGACTTTTATTTTATCGGCACGCTAAAAAAAGAGAGCTGAAGGACGCGAATTCGCGAGTCCAGATGATCTTGAAAATTTTGTAAGAGAGCAATTTGAGCAATTTTCTCATGATGATTTAAAGCGTGTCTTTCAAGCCTGGATCGATCGCTGCGAACGCGTGATTGAATCCAATGGTGATTATATTTAAATAAACTTTATATATATGTAACTTGTTTATTTCTATTCGCAGTATTCAGGTTTTGGCTAAACACACCTTTGGACACCCTATACTTTAAAACCATCGTGACAAAATTCAAAAAACGAAGAGTTCTTCTCTCCAAATTTTTCAAAATCAAAAAAATGAGATAAAAAAGTACGTTTGGAAAATTCATTTTTAGCATTTTAGGAATTTTCTCACTTTTCTTCCAAATTAACATTCCTTAATTAAATTAAATTACACATTAACACCGGAGCCGGAATCATCTTGGATATCAGATGATGATTATCTTTAGATGGTTTCCTGCAGAAAACGAAGTAGATGATGAAGAATAATAAGGATAACAGCAAGAGAACGCCAATAAAATACCAGCCTTCTGTCCACCAGTAAGTCCACTATTTTCAGGTGTTGGAGTTGGCTTGGAATCATCAGGGCTTGGTGCAACGTATTGTTGTTTCTGAAGTGAAACCTCTGTTTTCAATGATATTGGATTGAGCTTGATCTTTGGATCCAGCTAACCTAATTTGAAGTTTAACTTTCCCATCTTCTTTGATATCTTCATACTTTGGAGCTGGAATGTTGAGTAGATATGTTTTGCCTTCGTCGGCATGTAATTTCTTAATTGCAGATGGGGTTTCTACTTCAGTTACATTGTCGTCTGGAGATCTATCCATTTCTGATCTGCATAGAATCTATATTGGAAGTTTCCTGTCTTTGCCTCAAAGTGTTGTAATGTAACTTTAACTGGAATATATTCACCGGCCTTGAATGGTCCTGTATGATTTTCAGCAACAACAGTTGGCGCAGATAAATATGGAGACGTTCCAAGAGAATATGTAACATTGCCGGTACCTAACTCGGATGTATGATTGGCGGCGAACTCAACAACAACAAGTAACTTTGTCTTATTATGATCCTCTGGAGCGTTAACTTTGAAAGTCCATTCTGTCTTGTTCGTGCTTGCTACGGCTGTTGCAGTGCTAACATTTTGTGATGTTTTGACGCTAGTGACAGAGGCGCTGGAAGCGTTGCTTTCTGTTGCAAAGAGATAATATGTCTTTGTAATTGTTAAGTTATTTTTGAGTATGATTTTGGCTGAGTATAAATTGCCTGAAATTACTTCGTTGCCATCGTTGTAAAGAACTCTATCGATAACTGGTGTGGAGAGTGTGTCAGAATATGTAACATTGCCGGTACCTAACTCGGATGTATGATTGGCGGCGAACTCAACAACAACAAGTAACTTTGTCTTATTATGATCCTCTGGAGCGTTAACTTTGAAAGTCCATTCTGTCTTGTTCGTGCTTGCTACGGCTGTTGCAGTGCTAACATTTTGTGATGTTTTGACGCTAGTGACAGAGGCGCTGGAAGCGTTGCTTTCTGTTGCAAAGAGATAATATGTCTTTGTAATTGTTAAGTTATTTTTGAGTATGATTTTGGCTGAGTATAAATTGCCTGAAATTACTTCGTTGCCATCGTTGTAAAGAACTCTATCGATAACTGGTGTGGAGAGTGTGTCAGAATATGTAACATTGCCGGTACCTAACTCGGATGTATGATTGGCGGCGAACTCAACAACAACAAGTAACTTTGTCTTATTATGATCCTCTGGAGCGTTAACTTTGAAAGTCCATTCTGTCTTGTTCGTGCTTGCTACGGCTGTTGCAGTGCTAACATTTTGTGATGTTTTGACGCTAGTGACAGAGGCGCTGGAAGCGTTGCTTTCTGTTGCAAAGAGATAATATGTCTTTGTAATTGTTAAGTTATTTTTGAGTATGATTTTGGCTGAGTATAAATTGCCTGAAATTACTTCGTTGCCATCGTTGTAAAGAACTCTATCGATAACTGGTGTGGAGAGTGTGTCAGAATATGTAACATTGCCGGTACCTAACTCGGATGTATGATTGGCGGCGAACTCAACAACAACAAGTAACTTTGTCTTATTATGATCCTCTGGAGCGTTAACTTTGAAAGTCCATTCTGTCTTGTTCGTGCTTGCTACGGCTGTTGCAGTGCTAACATTTTGTGATGTTTTGACGCTAGTGACAGAGGCGCTGGAAGCGTTGCTTTCTGTTGCAAAGAGATAATATGTCTTTGTAATTGTTAAGTTATTTTTGAGTATGATTTTGGCTGAGTATAAATTGCCTGAAATTACTTCGTTGCCATCGTTGTAAAGAACTCTATCG